CTGTTTAATTTCGTACTGAAAAATAAAAAATGACTTCATTGGACCAAAATGTCACTTTCCACCAAAACAATAAAAAATATATAACAGACAAAAAAAGCATAATAATTCATTCGTCAATCGACTCATTAAAAGCTTATTATAGTTACCGTGGTAGTTATCTTGGACAGTAGTCACACTTCCCGTGGATGCAAAATTAAACTTATGTTAAAAAAACTATTTAATTATAATTGCAAAATGTCAACTTGACAATGAAAATAATTATAAAACACGATTAATATTATTGTAAAACTTTTAAGATATATATTTTGGTACTATAGTTCTTAAAACTATGTAAAATTGGCTATTTTAGAGGAAAAAGAAACATATTTATCAAGGTACAATCATATTATAAAATTATATTATTAAATAATATAAATGTGAAAGTTTGTGAGGATGGATGTTGGTTACTCTCATGTAAAAACTACTGAACGGATTTTGATGAAATTTGGAATACGAATAATCTTTTACCCGTGGGAAGCGCCATCATACGTTGGTAACATATGTTATATTTACTACAGTGACGCAAAGGAGTCGCAAGAATAAAGAACGCAAGAAATTTTAGATGTTCAACAATATACGAGCAAAAGATTGCTTAATGATTTATAAATAATTGATAAATTCACGCCACTTTTAAAAAAATATTATTTTCTTGATACTGGCGTGAATTTTTCAATTTAATTAATAATAATCATAAATAGGATTGGTACGTAAGTGTGAAATGAATAGAAGTGTAATAGGTAATAATTTAGCCATGCCCCTAACAATGAAAATTATATTATATTATTTAATAAGTAGTAGTATTGTAGCAGTTTCACGAAATACTAACTTTTATTTAATATGACTTCAATGTCGATACAAATATCGATATCTTGGGTCACGCCCTATGACAATCCGCCATCGAAGAATTTGCATTTGAAGTTTAGGCATATACGCTTTTTTCGTAGGTATGGCCGGTCCTCTTCTTTTATGTCTATGGAGACATAGAGTAAGGTAGAGTGGAAATATTTTCTATGGTTATATAAATATCATGCAATCTGAAGTTGACATCAAAAACATCATGTTGTCTTTTTTTAACTAATAAGAAGTTTCTTTAGTAAACAAAGATAACACTAGTGTGACAGTTCAAAATTTTTTACGTGACGTCATGAGATATAGCTATCGTACCACCTGTCAGCCATTTGCAAATTTGCTTTGCGTATTCTCGGAAGTAGTTCAGCTGTCAGTGTTATAAGTTTTGTGGTTATTTTCATTTATAACTTTAATTTATATAGCTTTCATGGCAAAAAATTGTAAATTATTTATGCAAAACAATGCCTAGGTGCTGTATATTTGGTTGTGCGTCATCAATTTCCCGCAAACCGAGCAATATTACGTTTCACCGGTAAGTTAAACACTTTCTTGGAATAACAGTATTTAAAACGTAAGTAAGTTATTCTGAAAATGATTGCGTGTATAAATCGATACATATCGTATTTTGGCGTGTTCTATTTGTGCTATATTGCTCTTTTCGTTTATATTTTTATAATATTTCGGTCCGTAAATAATATTGTTTACATGGCTAGTGTCGTTACTTTAACATATGGTTTATATCGATAATTTTAATATTTAAAATTATATTAATTATTTTAGATTACCAAAAGATGAAACAAAAGAGGAAAATGGCCGAGTTACATAGAAGCAGAAAATATTAAATGTAATGAAAAAGTTACTTTTATCTGCTCACTTCATTTTAGGGAAAGTTGTGAATCGAACTTTAAATATAATAAAATTACGAGATGATGCATTGCCAATCAAATACTCTGGTAAGAATTTTTGACAATTGCTTTTAACTTATTTAAAAAAAAATGTCTATTACACTTAGTTAATTTTCATTTGATTTTACTGATTTATTTATTTAGTGTTTTATATAGTCATTTTGTTATTCTATAAATGTACCTTATTTTTAGTCTTGCGGTCATATGACGAATATTTTAATTGAAAAAAATCAGAATGCAATATATAATAATATTAAAATATAAAATTCTGATCATAATATACTCCCAGTAAAATATACAATAAAATGAGTTAAATAATTTTAATAAAAATTAAAATATGCACACTTATCAAATTAAAGGCATAGTTAAAGGTTTTCTTTGCGGTTCAATAGTATAATCTTAATACCCAAATAATTATTTTGCGGCGTGGATGTTTATTTTGCTGATGCATCATAAAATACGCTACCTTTTTGAATTTAAATTGCTGACCGTTATCATGATTGTTCACAGAACATGAATTGCAGACTGTTTTAGGGCTGAGAAAATATTTGTATGCTTGCCTATTGATTAATCGGCTGTTTTCTTCTTGCTAACCAAATTTTTAAATAAAATGCCAATTGTTACTTCTTTAATAATGTGACTGTTATGCCAATTGTTACTTATTCATCACCAACTTTGTTTTCTTTATTTTCTCTTGTTTATTCATCAAAGTTTACAGTATTTTTATGTTCTTTTACCAATAATATAATACAAAGATTATGTAGGTGTTTCAAGTTTTCTATGTTAAAATTGTGACACAGTACGCACGGTATCTCACTTAATGAGGAGGAAGCGAAATTTATTCAGTCAAAACAATTTATTGAAAAAAATTATAGACAAGTTGGCTTACTAGTTACAAGCATATAAGAAAGTCGAAACTCTGTGCTTATAGTTCAGCAATCTATTACGGGAAACCTTGTACCGAGAAAAGAAGAAACTGTAAGAAAGGAACCGGTAAGAAACTGCAAGGGCTGCTTTTGCACCCTGTTTAATTTCGTACTGAAAAATAAAAAATGACTTCATTGGACCAAAATGACACTTTCCACCAAAACAATAAAAAATATATAACAGACAAAAAAAAAGCATAATAATTCATTCGTCAATCGACTCATTAAAAGCTTATTATAGTTACCGTGGTAGTTATCTTGGACAGTAGTCACACTTCCCGTGGATGCAAAATTAAACTTATGTTAAAAAAACTATTTAATTATAATTGCAAAATGTCAACTTGACAATATATATGGAAATAATTATAAAACACGATTGATATTATTGTAAAACTTTTAAGATATATATTTTGGTACTATAGTTCTTAAAACTATGTAAAATTGGCTATATTAGAGGAAAAAGAAACATATTTATCGAGGTACAATCATATTATAAAATTATATTATTAAATAATATAAATGTGAAAGTTTGTGAGGATGGATGTTGGTTACTCTCATGTAAAAACTACTGAACGGATTTTGATGAAATTTGAAATACGAATAATCTTTTACCCGTGGGAAGCGCCATCATACACTGGTAACATATGTTATATTTACTATAGTGACGCAACGGAGTCGCAAGAACAAAGAACGCAAGAAATTTTAGATGTCCAACAAAATAAGAGCAAAAGATTGCTTAATGATTTATAAATAATTGATAAATTCACGCCACTTTTAAAAAAATATTATTTTCTTAATACTGGCGTGAATTTTTCAATTTAATTAATAATAATCATAAAGAGGATTGGTACGTAAGTGTGAAATGAATAGAAGTGTAATAGGTAATAGTTTAACCATGCCCCTAACAATGAAAATTATATTATATTATTTAATAAGTAGTAGTATTGTAGCAGTTTCACGAAATACTAACTTTTATTTAATATAATTCAATGTCGATACAAATATCGATATCTTGGGTCACGCTCTATGACAATCCGCCATCGAAGAATTTGCATTTGAAGTTTAGGCATATACGCTTTTTTCGTAGGTATGGCCGGTCCTCTTCTTTTATGTCTATGGTTTGAGATAACATGACAACTTGATACACCCCCGCGCTCTCCCGTGCCGCACCCCGCCGTCGCCTGCAGTAGCGACCGCATAATAGTTGATGCTATTTTTATTGGATTTTTGTTAAAATAAATTTTTGTTGAAGATGACAATGAAAATGATATGTCTGATATAGACGAAAAAAATTACAGCAACGATTGAGCGTAAAATTTTACCAATGACACCTAACATTAACTTTAGTGATCTTGCCGCTTCTTCGTGGTACAAAGTCTCCCGCCGTAGATATACGAACCGATGGCGTAGCTCTCGACTTTCACAAGTGCTTGTAACAGAATAGACTGAATAAATATATTTATTTTTATTTTTTTTACCTTACTTTACTAAATTTTTACCTACTTATGCCTCTTTCGGATACCGAAATATACTATGGATTGCTTATATTGAATTTTTTTATGTAATTTTCTTTGTGAGTTCGATATACCTATTGTCATTATTATCAATTTTGTATAATAATTATTAAAATTGATCAAATATAATAATAAGAACAAATTTTCATCTTTATCTAGAGCCTTAATATATGTAAAAATATTACTTTCTGCTGTTTGGGTGGATTGCGTGAACATTTTATTCATTATTTCTATTCATTGAAATATTTACCAGTATGGTAATTAGCATTGTGTATGCAAAAATGATAATTCGATTTCGATAAAATTTATATTTATATTATAAATTTGGGCACTACCTCGAGCCCACAAATTGTTTTATAAAAAATATTTTTTAAATTTACTAATTCGCTAAAAAAACGGTGAACATACATTAAAAAAGAAATATATCGAAGACAAACATAAAACCTCCTACTTTACGATTTGAAGTCCGTTAATAATATGTTTTCCCATAAAGCAGAAAAATTTTAAACTCCCTGAAATAAATAATTCTGCGTTTATAAATAAAACTATTAAATGCAAGAAATATATAAAATGTAATGTATTAATTTGCCTTAAATAAATACAAACGCGTTGCGTTTAATATTAATATTTTCTGAATATTAATTGTCATGATTCACTAATTGTACTAATTTAATTAGCAAAGGCGCTTACTGCGCAACCGCGGCCTACACAAGCACGCTATCACCCGCGACTTTTTTGCACGTCGTACTTTGCAGAAACTAAGTGTCATGTTAACTCGAACGAGTAGTAGAATTGAATTGAATAGTAGTAGATACAGAAATATAGAAACCTAGTTAAAATTGTAGGAATAGATATTCATTTTGAAGTGACATGCTAAATTAAAGCCACATTTACTACAGGGATGGCGACACATCCGAGTGATTTCACAGATTTTCCACCAGAAATAATACTAAAACCACTGGCGCTAATCGGACTTTCAGGATTGGACGCTTTGAATAACGCTGTGCACAAGGAGATATGGGATGCATTTGCCAATAATAGGCGGCCAGATCGTGCAGCAGTGCGCTTCAAACTGCTTAACAACACATTCGAATTCCCTGTCGTAAAACCAAAAAGAAACTCGTATGAATGGTATATACCTAAGGGAATCCTTAAAAAGAATTGGATTCAGAAACGAATCACCTTAATTCCTGCAGTTGTTGTGTTATTTTATGATATGGAATGGAATGACCCCCAATGGAATGAAAAAATAATAGAATGTGCATCAAAAGTTCAATCCATACGCGCGGCTGTGGAGGGTCACGCCACCCGTGTAGCTGTGGTTGTAATTCAAAGCGGACAGTCGCCGCCGCCTTCCGAATATATGCTTGGTGCTGAGAGAGCCCAAGCATTGTGTGCTGCTTGTGAAATTCAGTCAAAATCATTGTTTGTGTTACCCCATAGTGACCATCTCATGGGATATATCATTAGACTAGAGAATGCATTCTATGATATTGCTCAAAATTATTATCATCATGAAACTAAAAATATTAAGCAACACAGAGACCATTTAAACAAAACAACACATCAATATTTATTTGTGAGGCATCAATTCAAACTAGGCTTCTTGAATGAATTAAAACAGGACCTGAGTACAGCTCACAAACATTATATGCATGCTTACAATAACTTGCTAGAGACTCGGACAGTGGATACAAATATGCATGAAGTGAGGACTGTAGCCGGCTTTATTAACTACAAACTGTGCAAGTTACTGTTTGCACTTAACTTGCCAAGGGATAGCATAGCTCAACTTAAATCTCACATTGATCGATATAAGAATAGAGTTGGCTCTACAGAACTGTTGTTTGAACATTATGCCTGGATTGCAAGACAATATAGTGCATTTGGAGAACTTTTTGATGAAGCAATTAGAGCTGGCCTACCTGGAATACAGACCCAACATCCTGGCTTCTATTACCAATATGCTGCCCAATTTACAGTCAAAAGGCGGCAAGCTATGAGATCAGTCTGTACTGAAGCTACAAAATATCCTCCACTCCCGGATCCTTTAGAAGGCATAGTTGAATATTATGGACAGAGGCCATGGAGGCCAGGTCGTCTAAGTGCAGACCCACACGATCCACAAAAAGAACAAGCTGCAGTTTTAGCCCTTCAATATAATGAGAGAATGTATAACCACTCAGCAATGATAATTAGTTTCTTGGGCAGTGCTATTTCTCAATTCAAAACATTCCATTCACCAAGGATGAGGAAGCAGCTTGTAGTAGAGATGGCTAATGAGTATTATTATTCAGCAGATTATGGCAAAGCACTCACATTGTTGAGCCATATGTTGTGGGATTATAGAAGAGAGAAGTGGTGGTACTTAGCATCCCATGTGTTGAATAGAGCACTACAATGTGCCTATTTATCTGCAAAAATACAAGACTATGTGCAGCTGTCTATCGAAGCACTCTCTAAATTTATTCAAGTGCCAAATAAAGATAAAGATAGAATCTTCAGAAATATTACAGCAATAATGAATGTGACTGTACCTCAAGGAGAGCCTGATGTGCCCCTCCATTCACATACAAAAGCTACTGAAATTTGGCGTTCTGCTATAGAAAAAGAGCCTTTCCTTTTAAATGTTGACATGGTTAATATTTCTAGCTTCCTGGAAGTTAAACCAAAGTTCAAGCAACAGCGTTATAGAATGGATGAAATTATTGAGGTTGAAATATATGTGAGACTAACATACGAAACTGTTTTGGAGGGAGTAAAGGCATTCTTAACTATATCTAGTGCTACAGAAACAATTGAAATTCCTATTACTCAAGATGGGAGTACCACAATATCATTGGAAAGTTCTAAAGTAAAAAGATTTTTATGTCATTTCAAACCCAATCCTCTTGACAATGGTTCAGAGTTACATATCAAAAATATTTCATTTATTCTTGGTTCTGATAAAAAAAGAAAGATTGCTATGAATTTTAAAATAGAGGACAATAAAACCCTAGACTCAACAGTTCATCCTGAACTACTGCATTTCATATTAAGTCCTAAAGCTGACTTTGAATTTGATTCCATTGTGCCTTTAACTATGGCCTCTATAACATCCAGAGAGTGTAAACTATCTATGTCTGTTCAAAACAGCAGTCCCGCCCTACAGGGTGAGTGGTTTCCTACAACAATTTCTATTGTAAACAATGAGGACCGTCCTGTTTATGATGTCAGATTCACATTAGGTTTATTGAGTTCACCTGACAATCCAAACCCCGAGTCTGTAACAGAATTGAGTTTAAAAGAAGGAGAGTCACAACCTCAGCCAATTAATATGACTGCAGGAACTATTAATAAATCTTCTGAACACTCACTATTATTTTACTTAAAAACAAACAGGACTGCCACAGCTACTGTCCAGATTAAAATATCATATTTTATAGATCTCCCAGAGATAAGTAAATTGGAGTGCATCAAAGACTTCACAACAAAAATTACAGTTATCAAACCATTTGAAATTTCCACTAATTTTGTAACTATGAATTTTAAATCAATTTCAAAGTGTTTTGTGGATGATCCATTCATTGTCATGCCTCAAATAAAAATATTAAGTCCTTGGAATTTGCTTATAGTAGATACTGAATTAGAGATGGTAGATTGCTTTAAATATTCTGATAATACAAAGCCGCCTTCTTGTATTAGTGGTTTAGAAGTTGCAGAGAAAAACATTGCATCAGATGCTATTTGTATTCAAGCAAAGTACAAACCTAAGGATACTCCTACAAGAGTTGGTCTTTATAATATTAAATGGAAACGAAAGTCTGACTCCAGTGGACTGTGTGTAATGAGCAGCACAGCACTTTCACCATTGCCTATAGATGAATGCCCAATAGCTGTTGAAGTCAATTATCCTGAAGTAGTAGAAGTTCAAACTTCTGTTCCACTAAAATGTACATTAGTAGGAAAATCCAACACACCAATCAGGCTTAGTCTTACTGTAGAAGGAACAGACTTTTATATGTTCTCCGGCTACAAGAAACTAACAGTGACAGTGCCCCCTAACGATCGTGTGGAGTTGTGTTACAATATCCACCCCCTCCTCACAGGAAACACCACTCCACCGAGACTTCAGGCCACAGTTTTAGGGGATAATGCTAATCAAGAAATAGTCAAGGAAATGTTTGATAAAATCTTTCCTCAGAATATATTTGTTATGCCTAAGTACAATAAGTAAATTGTATTAAATGTTAATCAATACTGACATTTGTAAATAGTTATGAACAAAAATGTATAAGTTAAAAAGTAGTTACCTTGTGATTATTATTCTTAAATTAAATTTGGTTATTTGTTATTTATAATTTTTTTATTTACATGAATGGTGGAAAAAAAGAAATTGAAAGCTGTACTTTAAAAAAAAAAGGGTATAAATGATAAAATAATGATTACTTTCAAAACAATTTTATTGGTAAAAAAATAAACTAATCTTTACGAAGTTCAAATTTCTCTTCCTGGATACCATTTGCTGTGATGACTAAAATATAAATACAGTCACCGGTGTAAATATCTCTCTCTGCTGCACTAATGAAAACATCTTTCAGTAGTGAGAGTGCCTTTTCTTTTGGCAATGGAGCTTCTGTGACATTCTGCATGTTCTTTAATCCTATTTGATTGTCAAGTAATGGCTGCAGTTGTGCGCCTGCGGAGCCCCCAGCACGATAGTTAGACCTCTCGCAGTGACCAATAGGATCATAACTGTAAACACATCCCTTACCGTCTGCGTCTAAGCCCGCCAAGACATTAGATATATAGTAAGGGAAAAATCTTTTGTAATAGAGCATAGTGGAGAGCATTTGGGCGACCGCCGGAGTAGACATCGATTTGTTATGCTCATGCTCATACATTTGCATACGGGCTTGGAGCAACCTTGTGAGAGTTAGGGTGTCACACCAGCAGCCAGTAGCGCCGAGTACAGTACGGTCAGATAGCTTGAATAATTTTTTCTGTTCTCTTGTATATATTGAAAATCCGGTGCTAAGACGAGTGTCAGCTCCGATCACAGCGTAGTCTTCACCGGCGATGGCAACGACGCTACCTCCATTGTCAGCATACGGTTCAAAGCGAACTTGTTTTGCTCCAGGTACTGCATATTCAGGAAAGTTACCACTAACGCTCAACATTTTGAAACTTTGGATAAGATACAGTTTTTGTTCAAAAAAGTTTTCGTTTTTATCCTCGATGACGAGCAAATAATCAGCAAATTGACTTTATTTTTTTTTAGTAGAATAAGGCCTGTCGATGTTTAATAGACATGGATGTTGAGCTAGAAAACATCGATGTTTTAATTTCGATAACATCTGCACATCGATGTTTTCTAGCCAAACATCGATGATTACGAATAAAATATCAATTATTACCTTAGGGTCCTCTAACATGCTCTAGATGTATTAGCTAGATGATCTCGTATATCAAGTTCGACTATTTTACATTAGATGACGCTGGTTGCGCTGGTTGGAAGTTAAAAATAAATCTGTCAACTTCAGCGCTCTTTGGTACCCTATAATTTACTTTATGCTCGTTGGGCTCGTTCTCTCGCATCTCTCGCGTGATTTTCTTATGACATTAAGACAAGTGTGAAGCGAAAGTAAAATACGTGAATTACGGTTTCCGATCTAAAAGCAATACTCTCACAGCACCAATTGACCTCGTAACAAAGATTAAGCAAAATGTTGATAAGAAAAATATTGTACTGGGGGTATTCATCGATTTAAAAAAGGCCTTTGACACCGTGAGCCACAAATTGCTTTTGAACAATCTAGAAGCCATTGGTTTATGATTGGTTTCAATACAACTTGTTAACTATTAACGTCTCTAAAACTAGCTATGTACTTTATAAAGCAAAAAACAAACCAATACCCAATTATTTACCTCTTACCATAAATAACACACCTTTGCAAGAAAAAACCCACGAAAAATATCTTGGTCTCCATATGGACGCATGTTTGACTTGGAATGATCACATGAAGCATATATTAGCCAGATTAACATCACTCCAAGCCTCCCTTCGAAGTAATATTCGATGCATACCACGTAAACTACGTTTTACAATTTATAATGCTCTTCTAAAACCGCATCTATTATATCTCATCGAAATTTGGGGAAGTGCTGCCAAAACTAAATTAGAAAAATTACAAGTCCTCCAAAACAAAATCATAAAAATTCTTTTCAATTACAATTTTCGAACAGCAACCGATAAAATTTATCGCGAAACTAAATTGATGAATATCAAGCAATTATACATTTATAATACATGCCTATTTGTAAGAAAAACAATTAACAGTAAAATCCACACTGAACTAAAATTTACCAAGCGGTAAAAAGTTGGGCACCCCTGCACTCGACGCGCTAGTTTCATTGTTCTGCCCAAGCCTCGAACGAAATACGGCCAAACGTCGGTAACTTATGATGGCGCGCGCCTTTTTAAGAGGATACCTTCGGAAATTAAAAATGTTGACTCGGTCGACGTATTCAAAAAGTGACTAGCAAACCACGTAATTGAGTTCTGGTAATTTGCTCCAATTAATTAATCAATTGAATCCACGATAATTTCTGCCTTAAAATCTTGCAAATAGTTAATTATGGTATTGTAAATTATAGCTATATTGGTTTTGTTTTGCGTGCAATGGTAAACTAAGTGTATAATTATGTATCTGTTAATGCATAACATTAGTGAAGTGAAATGTATAGCAATGGATGTGTGTTATGATTGTTCAACTGGGTTATTGTATTCTTTGTTAAAAACATTTTATTTTAATGTTAACAACTTAGTTATTATATGTACGACAACGAATGTATGTTGTAAATTGTTATTGTATTTATGTTCTCATGTAAGTGGCGCATATGTCTTAATGAGAATAAATGTCTTTAAACCTAAACCTGAATTAAAGTTGCTTAATTTTGTAATTAATTATATTTAAAGTTCGGAATCGAAAACATAGGTATGATTAATTATTTGTTTGACTTACTATTTCTTTGCCAGTAAAATTGTACTTTTGAAGTAATTTAACCGATAACGTACTTCAACGACTGTTTCGATTTTATAGGTTATTTTGAGAACAAAAATAAATAAGTTGCCTGTAAGAAGATTACGATAATAACTGTTTGCTGCTTTTGTTACACAAAAAAGATGTAAAGGTTCAAGAAGATTCTTTTTTTTATGTATGTAATACATACATATCTTAAAATACCTATTTTACATACATGTTTACAAAGGCTGGCTCTACTCTTTATCAATTAAGAAATAAATTAAAAGGTCCTTCCTTATCAAAATTAGTTTTTCTTCAATCAGTTGATAAAAAATTTGTTCTGTTTCTTAATAAATTTCGAAAGATTTCACTGTATTTTATTTCTTTGTAAATTATTGCAAAAAATCATCGATGTTTAGTTTTCGATAATTATCAAACATCGATGTTGGGCTTACGATGATGACATCGATGTTTTTCCAATATCGATCATCCCTAGAATAAGGAGGCCTCTGTTTTCAATTAAGGGTAAAATTGGTAATTCAAAATATACAAAAAATCGATAATCCACAATCGGTATATAATCATATCGTGCGTCCGAACATAGACGTTGTGATGGCTTCTCACTCGCGAGGTACCTCGTTTGAGGTACTTATTTCAACAAAATGAGTACTCGGTTTTCAATTTTGAACCACCTTATTTAGCTCCTCACTTTTTGAGGCTTCATACTACATAACAGAATAGTGAGATGTTTAGAATGAAAAGGCGACTCGATACTTACTCAATACATTCAAGATTGAGGGAACGGATTATATTCTATGAGTTTGATGAAACGATTCAGGTTTGTTTATGTGTTTCTTCGTAAATATCTATTTAATTTTTATAGATAAATGATATTAATGAGTCTAAGTAAAAGCCAAAGTCAATAAAAATTTATCTGTTTTATTTAGAAATATATTTATATTTCGCTGTTCTTTTTTTAAAATTTATTGATAAATAATTATTAATCGACCCGAATTATAAATGATTAATCGATTTTTAAAAAGGAACATTTAACACTATTAAAAATAAGTTGCGTTGGAATTTAAAGACAAAATATGTTTTGTTTAGCATTATTAAAATATCGCAAAGAAAATACGATTTTGAACGACGAAAACGCCCTGGTGTTTGCCACCAGTGAAGTTTGAGAGGAGTCAAAGAAAACTCTTCTTCTTCTTCTTTTATTACTGGCTTATTTGCGCATTCCGCATAATTTTGCCAATAGTAGGGGAGCCGAAGCGGGGATTTCGGGATTTACTAAAACGCGGCAGATTAATATACAGGGGGATACCTTTTTAAAAATTTTTTTAGTGTCAGTTTAAGTAAATCCCTTCAGATAATCGTCAGATTATGAGATATCACGTCTGGGGCATAAAGATGAACCATATATATCTTAATCTGATGCGCTTGAGTATTTCAAAATGGCGATTTTTTTTGCACATTCTAATAATGGTCACGCGTTTGCGTCACATCCAAATCGTCAGATTATTATATGAGAGCTTTTTTTTAGGTTCACTTGACATCCCCTCAAAAAATCTGACGCGCTCGATTAAATATTTTTTTTTTCATTTTCAACCCTTACGTATAACCACCCCCATCATGGAAACGATCAGATTAACATACGACAGTTTTTAAAAATGCGTAGGACATGGATGATATTAATATCTGACGCGCTCGAGTATGTCCATACAACAGTTTTTTTCACATTTTTAAAAATCTATAGCCGCTTCCCCCACCGATGAAAAGGTATATATTATATGACATTATTTTTTTGTTATCATCTAAGCTTCGCAACCCAATAGGTCTCTATGACGCTCGAGTAAATCCCGATTTAGCATCGTGGGCTCCCCTACTACAATGTCAAGTGAATAAATTAATTTCTACATGTAAAATGAAAATGAAATTAATGAAAGATGGCGATGATTCGGATGATTATTAATTCCAAAGAAAACTCGTATCAGAGTGATGTTAGATAGTGTTAAGTGTGGGCAAAAGTGAACTAAGTAGGTTTTCGGTTAATATGTGGGTTATTAGTATATAAGTTTTATAGGGGTGTGTAATATTTGTAGAAGTGATGTAAAGGCGTGATATAAACTTAAGGTTCCTAGTCAATTCATAGTGTAAATTAAAGTATTAAGGGGGTGCGTATATTAAAGAAAGTTTATCTTGGTTAATAATGATTCTCTACAATGATTCATTTAAGGGGGTGAAAAAAAATGAAGTTTAAAAATAATTTTTAAAAAACTAAATGCTTTATTCATAAGCCAAATAGCTGACTTTTTGTCCACTTTCATTTCTATTTCTAATATTTCATTGGTCATTTTAAATATCACTTATAAACAAAAGTTCTTTGCAACATTCTGCTGAGGCTATAAATTCTGCTTCTTTACTCGATAAAGCTACAATCGGCTGTTTTCTTGAACTCCATGCCACTGGTCCACCACTCCATGCAACCAAATCACATAACCCGATGTACTACGTCTAGTGTCTGGATCCCCTGCGAAATCTGAATCACAGTAACCACGAAGTACTTTATCACCTTCAGCATAGTGAATGCCTTTCTTTATCGAACCTTTCAAAAATTTTAAAATAGTTTTTGCATTATTTAAATCATTTAAATTTGGAGCACTTTGTTGGCGCGGGCAATACCCTACATGGAAGCTAATGTCTGGCCTCGTTTTGTTGGCCAAGTATAACAATGATTCTATCATTTCCGTGTAGAGTTCATGACTCTCTGTATCTACTTTCACCTTAGGGTGTTGTTCTATCAAGATTGTTGGGGTTTGGCACTCTCTAGCTTCATTTAAATTAAATCTCTTCAAAAGTTTTTTTATATACATTTCTTGACAAATTTTCACTCTTTTCTCTTCATGTTTTATTTCCAGCTCGATATAGTTTGATACTTCTTCGCAGATTCTTAGATCAAATCCTTTTCTCAACGTTTCCACTATATGCATCAGATCTTCTTCTTTCTCCCCAACTACAAATCCGTCATCAACATAAATCGCAAGAATTATTCTTCTTTTACCTTCCATCACAAAAATACACTGATCTAACTTTAATTGTTTAAACCCCGTTTTAACTAAGAATTCTATAAATTTAAGGTTCCACATTAATGGAGCTTGTTTTAACCCATATAAACTCTTATATAGTTTGCAGACTTTGTCTTCTTTATTACTATAACCTTTTGGAACTTTTAAATAAATGC